AGTTATCAAAATTAAGGGTTTCAGAAAGATACTTACATTTCTAACACGGTCTTAAGTTGCTCAAGTTTTGACTTGTTTTCTTCAATTTCAGAATCATTATTTTGCCCTAGCTCCATAAGAAGTTGTCGTGCAATATCTAGCACTTCCTGTGAAATAAATAAAGAATTGAATTTTGGTGCAATTTTGCCATTAGCCATCTAAAACTCGACAAGAAATCAAATGCACTTGCCTGTAACTGTTTTGGTTTTTTGAGTTTTAATTTCCCAGATTTATATCCATCACACTTTTCAAAAAGATCAAAAAATCTTATAAAAAAGACAGAGCACTGTTAGGCATTTGCAACAATATTACCACCATATATTAAAATAAACTAATTATAATAAATGATAGATATAGGACTAGAACAATAAAAGACAGATATGGAACTCAGGGTGTATGAATTTCAAATACTGTGTGTCCCCTTTCCCTATACCATGCTGCTCCTGTACTCTGCTTGAGAAAACGTAGTATTTTCCTAAATCATATAAAACTAATAATTACTAGATTATTTTTAAAAGTTCTCCCATACAACAATAAATAAAAGCCTGGTAAGGCTGATGATCATTTATGGATATTGTCACAACATTTTTCAGATGCTGATATACACAATTTAAAATGGATTTTGTTTGGTTTTATATGTTCCCAGTGGTTTAAATATTAATGGCCAAGAAACAGTGGTAAACAGTTTTTCTATACAATGCATTAATCAAGACAACTAATCACTTATCAGAAATCTTAAATTATCTCCTGAGTATCACATTCTTCCCTTAAAACATACTTTTGATGTCTCACTTCCATTTTCATTTTTTGCTTTGGTGTTCGATCCCCATGGCGTATGACAGCTATGACACATCTGAGTTCCATCCTGAAAGAAAAGAAATAATGTTCTCAACTTTCTAACAAAGATTTGTGTTATATAATTTAGATTAATACATCCATTTATTTAGAACCATCTTTGACCATTTCAAGATCATCCATGTGAAGAATAGCGCTTGTAAAAACCAGTCTTAATTTTATCAAATCAAATCCTAAAAAGAATTTAAGAAGCTGGAGGGGGAGTAATATTAAACTATGTAATATCTGTTTCCTCTCTAGAGGTGACCAAGCTAACTATGGGAAAAAGTAAATGTATTGTAATCCTGTAACTTTAGTAAATACGTTTCTTGCAGTGCAGGTTATTATAGACTTGAGAGTTCATTAAATCAAACAAAATAAAGCTGCTATATTTATTCTGCCCAGGTCAGAAGAACAAGTATTTCAAACTCAAATTACCGGAATATAAAACTGTCTTAGGAAGACTGGTAGGGTATAATTTAGCATTTGCCAAACTGTGAGACACAGATTGCAACCTTGTAGGGTTTAATAAGGTACCCCCCAAAGCGTTTTGTGTTAAATATGTTTGGAAATATTGGTTTGAAAACAAAATCAAATACTTTTTGTCCTACCGTCCATCTGAATTAAGACTTCTCAGAAGACTTAATATGCTAACATAAATCTCTGAACTGTGAACATGAATCATTTGGTCAACTCACCTGAGTAACAGGTGAATTTCAAGCAGTATCTTTGACTAGAGAGTTATGAAACACTTTGGCAATGTTGGTCTAATTAATTTACCTCAAGTAATAACTGTATATTTTTACTTTACATGCTGAGAGCACCAAAGTTGTATGACCACTGACTATGAACCTTTAAGTAACATACCTTTTGGTACCTCTTTTATTTTTTAAGGCTTAATTCAATACATCTATAATTATCCAAGCATTTTTCAGGATTTTATTTGTAACAATTTAAGAGATTTTTAGTCTAAGTGGACCCTTATAAAAGCATACAATCTGTTTCTCCATCTGCAAAGTAAATCATATGAAAACACACACAGCAAAGTATCTAATAATTATTCAGAAATGTAACCTTTATTGTAATAGCACAGACCAATGGAGAAAACCCAAGGAGTGTCTAAATGAAAATATTCAAACTTACATAGTTCCAGATGTAGTTGGTACAATTGGGATATCTTCAGCTTCTAAGGGTATTGACCAGGGGATATGAAACTGTGGAGCAAGCTCTCTCATTACAATATTGCTTTGAGACAAAAAGAAAAAAATTAAATGAGTTCATTTTAAGACAAACCTAGGTACTTAGTGACAAATAATAATCACAGGAGTTAACGTCAAACTATCTAGTGATTACGTGATTACAGTACATCAAAAGTAACCTCAAAAAATCAATCCTGATCGAGAAAATTTAGATTAGCAGTTCTAAACTGCTGTATGGAACACATTAATGGGATGTCATGAATTCAGAATTACTTACGCACTTCCATTTTTTAAAATATAAATCATATTGGATTCAAGTAAACCGCTGTAACTATATCTACTTACACAGATTCTGAAATCCAAGATTATCTCTTCTTTGTGGCCACAGATCATTCCTTATCAGCTTTTACTGATCATTACTGATCATTTTAAATGATTAGTAAAAGCTATTTTAAATACTACTGCTCATTTTTAACAAATTTCTATTACCTTTTGCTAATAGGGTTAACAATGAAAATATGTTTAAATAATAGTAAAATATTTTTTGTTTCATTTAAATTTATCATTTATTCATGCTAAAATGTAGTGAGCTCCCCCAAATTTCACTTTAAAAGTAATTTCACAAATCTCTGAACTATACTATAAAAGCTACACCCAACTGTTAAAATATATTTTAAAGTGTAAGTTTCTTATGGCTTTGTTATATATAGTCAAAGAATATAAAAAGGCATTTTTATATGCAATTTCCTTTACATTCACTAGATAATCTCATGAGATTATCTTTAAGTAACACCTATACTTGTAGAAAGTAGAGTCATTCAAAAGAATTCTGAATTCCAAACATTCCTATTTTACTATGGTTATTTCATGAATGTTAATTTTGTGTCATTAAGTACTGTAATTATGCATCAAACACTTGAGAGACAAAGTAATCTAATAAATTAGATGTCTTGACTAATAATCACTGTATAAATCACTGTTAAAGCATTTCTAAACAAATGAAGTTAAATACCATTTAGCCTTTATCTACACTGGTCATAAATTAATCTGTCTTTGATAATTCAAAGTATAATTCAAGATTTTGCATGTTCTTTGGGGATGTCATTTTATGAGCACTGATTTTTTTACTCTATAGAGTGTTTACAAAACCCTGATCATGTGATGTTTACAATTAATTTGGTTTCTGAAAAGCTAGTATGCGTTAGTTATAACAAAGGTAAAGAGGAAGAAATATAAAGCAAAGAAATCTTACCCAAGTATTTTTGCACAATCATCATAATACTTCATGGAATTTTTCACAAAACTGAAGCCATTGACATCACAGACGTAAGACTGTCCATTGGCCCGTAACAAATCAAAGCCACAAACTGTTTGCTATTTAAAATAAATCATAAACTTTAAAGTTCCATTTGAATTAAGATTCATAGTTTTCCAGTCTTATTAGAATACAACAATTTTTATAAATGTCTAAATGTATATTTACTGTTTAATAGTTTACTTCATAGTTTAAATTACATTTTTTTAATATGAATACTCTGAAAATATAGAACACATGACATACAATTATTTAAGGTTTTACCATGAAGTAGGTGTAGAACTAAATAATGCTCAAAGAACTGATGAGGCCAAAAAAATCAAGACGGTTTTCAACTGACATTTAATTTTTTTTTAAAGTAAAAAATTTTAGAGGCTTTGATAAATTTTGTTAGCCAAAATTATATCACTTTAATCAAAAAAAAAAAGGAAAAATAGCTTTGAACACATATCCAAGAGGAAATGTCCAACTATGCCAATGAATCTTTTAAACCCTGACAACCATATACTTGTGGGCACTTGAAATAAATTTACTTTATTTGGAAGAAAGGAGCTGAAAGGTATGAATTTTCAGCTTAGGTTCCAGGAATTTTCTGATCTTCTACATTCTATATTCAAAATCATGTATTAATATAATACGATTTTAAGTCACTCCTTTTAGAATCCTGGTATTATAAAATTAAAACAATTTATATAAAGCTATTAAAATATATTTATGGGCTAATTTCCTTCCATGAAAGAGACTTCAAATTATTAAGATAAAAACAATTTATTTATTTATCATTTGATAACCAGCAATACACATTAGTCTTTAAGTTACATATCCAAGGCAAGGTTTCAACAAGGAAAAGTTTACCCTTTATTAGATACAAGTTGTCCTACTTCTCTTTAAACCTTTACTGTACAATAATAAAAGACTAATAATATATATCATGGAGAGAACTAGTCAAATGTCATAAGTTTTCTTTAAGAAATGTGTGTTAGTATTGCTTTAAGAAATGTGTGTTAGTATTGCTTTCATGAACATAATTTATCATATATAATAGGCCAACTGCCTACTGCCAAGGCTAGGAGACTACTGAGGACCTTTTATTTAAAAAAAAATAATTTGTCAATTCTATGAGTAAATACTTGTAATCAGTTTTGTTTTTAACATGTTAAAACACTCGTTAACTCTATTGTTTCAGTTAAGTTTTCCTCTGTAATTTTAATTTTTGAATACATTGATAAACTTTCCTTTTATATAATACAGAAAGTATAGACAGAAACAAAGGCCTTCACTTATTATATGTTTTTATTAGCGGCACAAAAAGAATCTCTTGAAAAGTACACAAACCATTTAAATGTACCACTTTTTCTCAGCTGACTTCCCCATCTGTAAGCTTAAATAACATCTCAAAACAGACGATCAGAATTTTTAAAAGGGCCTGTATGGCCTGCATAACATCTTACCTTAAATGCAAGGCAGACTTTCCAAGCAATTAATTTCTCTCGTGCATTGAGAATGACAGGGTATCTTACTTCTTTTCCTTCACTGTCTCGTTCCACCTTGCCATCAAGTGCAGGAGATTTTCGAGCTTCGGCATGGGCATAATCTGGACCCACTGTATAAACCTTTCATGAATGTTAAAAATACATATTTTATTTAAAAGATTAAAAAGGAGGTGGCAGATGAAAAACAGCATGAATTTGATAACAGACAAGAGAGGGAAAGGCACTCGAAGCAAAGGTAATAAACACAAAGCGCAGATGCATGAAACAGCATGATGTATTCAGGTAAGAGTAAGTTATTTTGCATGATTTATTCCACAAGAAGTAAGGTTTGTAGGAAAGAGGGCAGACTGTGAAATATCGTGTATGCCAGTCTTTTGAATCTGATTACTATCTTATGGTCAATAAGGATCCACAAGAGAATTTTTAAAAAGAGGTTCCTGATCAGGTTTATACCTAAGAAAGAAATCTCTAGTTAGATATAGACTGGCTGAAGGTAAAGCAATTAAGAACTTGTAAGCCACCAACAAAAATCACACCTATTTTTTTCTTTTATCATATTACAGTTGTCAAAGATCCCAAAAACACTGTTTACACTAATTAGTGCTTGGAAACTGTGGTCGTTACATGACCCCAAAACACCATATTTTATTATTTAATGTCCTTTTAAAGAAGAATACACAACTATACATTATTATATCACATAGTTGGTTCTTTAAATATTTTGATAGCTATATTTCAATAAAGTTTGTCTCCTTTGTAATCCTGTATGGTTTACTTCAAGTATTTAAGAACATTATTCTAAAAAAAAGGGTCCACAGGCTTCAGACTAGCAGCAGCATTCATAATACAAAACAGAGTAAAAATCACTAGTCAAAAAGAAAGAAATACAGAATAGATGTTAGATGTAGTTAATTAAAGGGTAATTTCTTTTTCTGAGATCATTGGTAAACTCAAAATACAAAATTAAAACATATTTAATCAATCCTACCTTAACATCAGTACCATCTGTGGGCATAAACTCTTCGTATATATAAGAACCTGTTTTTCGTACACTGCTTTCAGGGGAATAAACACTACTTCTACTGCCAATCTGAAAACAGAAGAAGCCCATCAATATAAAAACTATATTATTCTCCTCATTTTTACAAAATAACCTTTTTTACCATCTGTTTCCATCTTAGACATTTCTAAAAAGATTTTAAGTCCACAGATATTTAAGAACACTTACTTACGTAGCTGACATTATATTATCTTTTGTTATAATTTACACTTAAGTTAAACAGCATAAAAATACAATGAACACTATGAATAGTGTTTCTAAGATTCAACCATATTGCTACATATAACTCTACTCTGTTCATGTTTACTACTATAGAATTGTCCACAGTATAACTATTCCATTAGTCATTCATTATCCTATCAACATATGTTTAGGTTGTTTTCTAAGTTTTAGCTTATAGAAGAATGTTGCTTTGAACATTCTTGTAAGTATCCCCACAGCACACACGTGCAAGAGTGTTTCTAAGGCATACACTAGAAGTGGGATTGTTAGGTGATAGAATATGTTCATATTCAACTTACAAAGACAATGCCAAAATCTTTTATAAACAGTTTAAACAATTTATAGATCTCTCCAGCAACATATGAGTTCCCACTGATGTACATCCTTATCCATGGTTGGTACTCAGACTCCTTAATATTTGCCACTCTTAATGGATGTGAAACAGTACCTCATTGTTTTCCTACTTTGCATTTTCCATGCTGTTTATGACTATATATGAATTTTTAATCCTGAGATATTGCTAAATTATGCTGCTAAAAGGCTATGCTAATTTGCATTCCTGTCAACAACATTTCGGCTTGTGCTTATTTTCCAGCTACCTCAATCTTTTTGAACTTTGCCAATCCAAAAGGTAATTCAATGGCATTATCTTTTAGACTTACATTTATTTTATTATGGGTGCAATCTTGAGCATACTTTCATGTATCTAAGAGTTAATTCATGTTACTCTTTCTATGAACTAACCATTTTGAGGGTCAATTTTCAAAAAGACTGCTGATCTTTACCTGAATTTCTCGTATGACAGATACATAAATGGAAGGTAGAAAGAAAACCAAATAACTTTCTAAGGTATTCTATAGGTAGAATTTTGCATAAAAAACATTAAATAACTAAAATGATGCCTTGCTTTTCTAACAAAGTATGACACCAGTTTTATTAACTTATCTCTAAATGATACACTTAATCATAGTTCTATTACATACTTGATTACTTTTAGTAAAACTTATACAACAGTGTATAGAGAAGAGTATTTACTAAGATAACAAAGGTTTACCTTTCGAAAGAGTCTTTGACTTCCACCACCAGCAGAGGTTGGATAATAAATGTAAACATTGTGATCTTCTGCACTGACTGGCTTTTCTACAAATGGCTTTTGGAAAACTTCTCCATTTACTTCTACATGATCTTCCCCTTCGATTAGACTGCATTCTATGAATCAAACAGATTAGCAAGAAAAACTATATATTGTATATTATATAGATGTAATATCGAGGACTTTTTGTTTTTTACTAGAATAGATATTACAAAGAAAAATAACTTTGGACATAGTCTACTGATCTGATTTTAATTGAAAATATTTATGCAAACAAATACCAACATTTATGATCTATGACATTAGGAACTATAATTGTTCTTCAGAAATCTAATGGACCTGCCATTTTACCCTATCCATCCCACAGAATTCAAAGTTAGATATAAAATGATGCACAAGACAGATTGAGAAGTAACTCTATAATGCTATCATCTTCTGAAATATGTATGAAATCATTCCTATCACAGATATCATAAAACATGAAATATTTAAGCAAGAAAAGTAACTTATATACAGAGTAAGCAAGAAATCCAATTAGGAATTTTCACCTCTAGACAAATAAAAAAAGTTCCCTGTCAAAAGATAATAAATACTATATCTAGTTTTTAATAAAAGTTGCTCTAATGTACAATAAAGCCATCAAAATTCCCCAAACATTAGAATGTTAATATTAATATTGTTATGTATAACTTACATGCTACATTTTAGATAACCAGGAAAATGAAGCAAAGCATGCTTTAAAATATTAATATTAACACTGCAAGATTCCTAGTCATCCGAAGTTTAAATTGTAGCATCTGAGCATGAAGTTTCTAATACTTAGTTCGATAGTCATAGATGAGTCACTCGTTCACCCCAATCAATACAAATTTATTAAGCATGCAATTTAAAAATTCTTCTGTATGATTCTCATAGATACATCAAATGTAGGCCAAAGAAATGTAGGATATACAATTCCTGAATTATTAGTTGGCCTCCTAGCTCAGTGTCACATTTTAACTGAATATAACTGCTCGTTAGGATCATTAAAAAAATGAATAGAATACCGTAAGTTCTTTAAATTCTTTCCATTTGATTATAGAAGAGAGTGGCTCAGAAGTATACTAAGTGACAAAAAGTAGCTTGCTTAAATCTTCTTCTTACCTTTGGGATTATTTGGGTCACGGTTCAAAATTGCATAACGAGGAAGCAAAATTCCTTCAGCTTGAAGAATGCTATACACTTCTCTCCTGAAGAAAAAAGAAAATATCCTTATAATTTATCGCTCTATTTCACACTGAGTATACTACTGTACTGTTCATAAAATACACTATTATTGTTCTACCACTAAAAAAGGCATGTATATCAAAGTGCTTTATTTTTTAAATAAATGTATGTCATTTAAAAATGTATTCTAAGGAAATATTATAAATGCATTTTAAGCAATATTGAAAAAGTATATGCTTAATACTTTTTGTGGCACATTAAAACACTAATTTTTTAAAATTGGGAATGTAAATGTATAAAAAGTAATGGTTAAAAAAAGTTACTATATCACAATGACAGAATATTATCTAAGTATTAAAAACCTTATACTCAGAGAATATTTAGTGACATGGAAGAATGTTCATGGTATTTTAAGAGAAAAGTAATCCTAATTTTGTAAAATCTGAGTGCATATATGTACTCCTTTCTTTGGGAAAATGTGGCAGATGTAGTGTCAGGGTTAAATGCCTTTCTTTATGATTTTATTTTCTAAATTTCTTAAAATAAATATGCATATACACATGCATATGTTTATATTTATAATATATAAACATGTATTAATATGTAAACCAAGGAAGAATGTCACAAAACATTATATATTAATGTTATAAAACATTCTATATTAATAATGTTACTATCTGGAAGAATGGGGAAAAAACAAAAATAGAAAAATAAAAAACTATAGGGCCTTATACTTCATACGGCAGTTTAATGTATATAATTTCATATAGTAATGCTAACACAAAAGAAAAACAGAAGGCTGGTGAAATTATAATGGTAGCCATTAAGGTGAAACATCAATTAAATGCAATATATAAATGCATTTGTATTTTACAATTTCTTAGATACCTATGCTTTTGATCTGTTATGAGTTGCTAAGATATACAGTAAAATATTTCTCAAAATGGTTATACTTTACCATTAAAAAATCTAGTTACAATGGATAAAGCCCTAATTTCATCATCAGTCACATAATAGAAAAATTGTTCAAAATTTTCAGTGGTTTAGTAGGCTCCAGAAATTAAACAAATTTGGTTTAAGTCCTTGTCCCACTACCTAAGGAACTACTTGTGACTTTGGTCAAATAGTTAATCTCTCTGATTCTCACATTTCTTCATCTGTAAAACTGGTTATAAATACCTATTTCTAAGTATTATTTCAAGGATACCATGAATTAATATATATAAACACCTGATTCCATGTCAGCTTAAAGGAGATACTAAATAAATGTTAATTTTCCCTCCTTAATTCAGCCAACTTCACCACTCACCTATCTTGTATGAGATACTGCATATTCAAGTCATTGATTACAAATGGATTCCTGAGTTTTGCATAGGCAACTGCTTTGTCCAGTGGAAATCCTAAGAACACATGTTATTAACATATTCTGTACAATCCGAAAGCAAGTTGACATCTTAACTTGAATTTATGCCACTTTCCATAAAAGATTAATTTCATTATTCATATAACTGCTTTCTATAAAAGGCATGGAATAATGAATACATAAAACTTGTTTTATCTTATACTATTAAGTGCTATTAAATAAATCTTGTTTTTACTTGGTTAATAAGAATATTGATAATAATAAATCTTGTTTTTTCTTTGTTAATTTGTTTTATAAGGCACAGTTAACCTGACTCATAAGGTACAGGAACCCAGTGGTTATATAACCAAATTTAGACCACTGACATTTTAGTTGATGTCTGATTATTGAAAGTCACCTAACAGAAGGTAAGATTACCTCACATAGAAACAGAAATCTATATATAAGTAACATAAGTATATCACAATCAACTGGTGATTTTTTAAAAATTTATCTAACTCCTTCTCACTTAAGATACTTTGATGTTTACACATATAAGTTAGATAATAATTCAAAGAACTTATGCAACTTTAAAAATAGCAGAAGAAAAATTAATTCACATAAAACAGATATGTTCAAAATATAAAATATATAAGCAGGATCATGTCTGTTGTTACTAGATCAATATTAACACATCAGAAATTAACTCCCTAAAATTTCTAGACTTTGGTAAAATTACTAATTACAATGAAAACAAATGAAATGGCAGATACAGTAAGAAGAGGTCTAAAAATACATCTAAAGAATTTTAATGATTGTAATTCACCCTCTGTATTGGCATTAAAAGACTCTAGCAACACATATTATTAAGAGAGGAAGTTACCACAGAGGTTAAGAGCATAAACTAAGGTTCAGATCCTAACTCCATCTTTCATTAGCTATGTAATCTTGGGCAAATTTATTTATCATCATTAAGCCTCTGATTCACAGCTGTAAAGGGGTATTATAACAATCTTATTTAGTATGGTTTTTGAAAAATTAAATAAAAGAATGTATATAAAACATTTAACACAATACTAGGCATACTAAGTGCTCAATAAATGTTAACTATTATTAACTATTATTAGTTGTCCCTAAATGACAGTATTTTAATAGGTATCTCAGGAAAACGTTAACAATTAGCAAACATGCACAACTACAGCATTTAACTATAGCATACCACAGTATACCTGTGAAGACACTGTATTTTGTAACATTATCAGAATAGTTGGTAGAGGAAGGAAGTGTTAAAGCATACTAAAGTTGAAACAACAAAAAGCTATGGTCAGTTAAAGGAAGACTTTTTCCTAAATTCCACATAGCTTTTAGCATTTAAATAGGAGTATTCTGTATCAAGAATCACTTGGCAACAAATTACAAACCCTTCTGTTATAGACTCTCAGAATTCATCACTTACTGTAAAAATGTCTCATTATCTATGGTTTCAAGCCTCCTAACAAAATTCAGCAAATAAGAAACCCCTATACAGTCATTACCCTGCTTCTGTTGTCATTAAAAAGGAATTTTGTCCTCACCAAGAGACAGCATACTCATATGCTGTCTAAGATATGATCTTAGGCAGTACCTAGTTTTTACAAACAAATAACTAGCTTTTATTTAAGAAATAGGAAGAACCATTTGATAGCAAAGGAAGAACATCTTACTCTCAAGGATAAGCAAATTTTAAGATTCTCTGAAATGAGGGACTTCAGTCTGTAAAGACGACCAGGGCCTTGGCTTCTCTATAAAATAATGGAGATCAACAGCCTATGGGAGCACAAAAAGTACCAACCATGCTCCATCCCCTACTTGCTGAAGGGGATGCTCTTTAAGCACCTAATTAAAGTGAGACCGTAACACAGCTGGAGACTACATACGTTGGTAATAAAAAATGTTTTAATATGAATATGTTTATAACTGAATGCGTATCTTTTAGAGTTCTTAGTGAAAACTCACTTAATTCACAAATTCTTAGGTTATAAATTTTCAGATGTACACTTAATAATGTGATTATGGAGTTTACTATGAAGTAATACTTAAGCTTAATTGATATTTCAGTTTGATTCATAAAACTGAAAGGAAAAATAAAACTCAAATATTAAGTTCTTAAAAAATAAAGTATGAACATGCATATGAGCAATGATAGATCATTTTCTATGTGGTAAGATGTAAGGGCTTAAAACATTCAAGAATTCAATAATTTACTCTAAGAAACCTAGAGTTGCAAACAAAGATATGCAGTCCAAAAGTTCATCACAACCTTACTTTTAATAGTGAAAACTGGAAACCATCTAACTGTTAGGATACTGGCTAAGTATGTTATAGTACATTCACAGGATGACACACTATGATGCCATTAAAAATCAGATTTTTGAAGCATGATATGGAGAAGAAAAACCTCCTATATAATTAGTAAAAAATTAAATATAAGATTACATATACACGACACTAAATTTGTTTTTAAAAATACACACAGGAAAAAACTGTAAAGAAATGTATCAAAATGTTATTATCACTTATCTGTGACACGAGGTGAGTTTAAATTTTTTCTATTTTATGTAGTATTTTACAGTTAATATATATTAGTTTTATAGTCAGAGAGGATAAAGGGGTTTCCACCTGTGTTCTTTAATACCTTTAGAATGGAAAGAAATCAGACAATCACATAAAGGCCAGTTTTCCACTGGTTCATTCAAAATAACATCCTCTTCAAATACTACCACTGTGATATATTTAAATAAGGAGATCCGTTCAAGAATTTCCTTCATTGGTTTGGATTTGGATTTCTTTGCCATGGAACATATTCCAACCACAATCTGCCTTTCTGGGGGCTGAAACAAAAAGAAAACAAAAAATCAGGTTGACTTAATATGAACTGCAAATTACAGTGATCCTAAATCTTCCTCAGAACTAGAGAAGGCATGTGATGAATCAATAAAAGTGACACAATAACCAAAAAGGCATTTTTCAAAATTATACTGTTGTTATAATAAAATACTTAAAAATGATAGTTTTCTACAAAGGTCTGGGAAAATTTTTTTTAAAGTTTCAGATCACTGTTACAATTTTCATTCAGATTTCAAAATGAAAAACTTCTTTAATTGTCTCTAACATTTATTTGCCTTCCTCACACCAGTAAGGCGGGGAATAAGGGCTAAAATCTACCTAATCTAAGTAAAAAGGCCAATGAGAGTGAGATAAAGAATTCTCACTACAAAGCTATACAGTATTAAGCTATTTTAGTAGATTGAGCGTGAATATGAGTTGGTCACCAATGACAACTTGGAAGGAAATTTTGGAGAAAGCCACATTGCTAAATGTGTTAGTGCTCTTTGACACCCCAGTCTTCATATCAACATTCCTATTTTACAGTGTTGCTCATCTCTGGCTCCCTTGCTACAGTTCAAAGGCAAAGATTCAGTCTGAAATTTAAAAAGCAGGATATAAAAATAATTTATGAGTTGCTCACAGATTTATAAAGTTACTCAAGATTCACTGTGAGGTCTTTGCATCCAGGTATTTAGAGTTTCATCAATTATAAAGCTGTATCCAGTTTTCCATTTTCAATTCTTTACTCTTTCATGATATTTTATGTAAGTCATATCACATCATAATCTGGGCCCAAAAGTGTTTTATTAGACTTTCTCTTACTATATAAGTCAAAAAACAAAACTGGATAACAACAGAATTGTTATTCTTCTTTATGCCTAGAATTTTATTTCTTTATTGCCTCCTCTAAACTCATATGAAATTTAGAGTTCAAACTGTTATTAGATTTGATGGTAAATCAAAGGTTCTAAATCCTAACCTTCCTGGGATCTGCTGTCTTTCCCCCTCTGATGATCCACTCTTATGTTCCCTTATTCTATTCTTTCCTGATTAAAAGCCTGGACATAAGGCATTATGATGTTCCTAAAGTAGATTTCCCCAGACAACAAGCGTATTCAACTCAACGTCTTTGAACTCTTAAAAACAGGAGAATGATCTGGAACAAATCATTTTATTAAGCTATAGGTCAAATGAACCAAATCAAATTTCTCAAAAGTGACAACTATGCATCGTGAATGTAAACTCAATGTAATTAGTACCAATACTCCAAGGATTACACTAAGCACTGAAGAGTTAGAAATACAGAAACTGCCTGTCCTCAGATATGTTGAGTCTAACAGGGAACACAGTAGTAACAGTACATGATACACAAAAAAGAACTACGTATGTCAAGGTACAGAAACGGTGTTGAGGAAGAAATGTTCAAGTTTCTCAGAAGGACAAGAGCAAGGAGAGAGGGAAGAGTGGACAACATGAAATGTGAGAAAGGTTTTGAAGAAGGAAAAATAATTCACAAGGTATCCAACAAGGAAGGGCTTTTCAGAGAGATAAAGGAGTACTCACAATAGCAAAGAGGCATGGTGCAACATGGAATACGTGGGAAATAAAAATCTGATATTGCTAAAACATGAAAGGGAGAAGGTACAGAGACAAGCACAGTTCTAGACACAGAGGAAAGATAAAAGTCCTTATATGGAAGAAGACTGCACTTGGGCTCTCAGTGGTGTTCACAGTGTGTTCAGAACTCCAGAGAGAAGTGGTACGGGCAGCAGAGGCCGAAGCAGTGCTACTGCCTGGTCTACAGCAGCCGGAGAAGCTCTGCTTTTATGTTTTACTTACGGGACTTCCGCATAAGACCTCAGAGGAAGGAAAGTTCTGGCTGGTATGAAAAGCGTGAAAATCATTTTTTTTTCTGAGCTGAGGTGGGGTGTGGTTTTTAATGAGTGACAATATGATTTGCATTTCAGGTAAGTGTAACTGCACTGTGAAGGGTGTTGTTAAATAACTATGAAAAAGGATTTGAAGAGTCATCTAATAGACATTTGGGGTTTGTTTTTACTAATTTCATGAAGTATAACAGATTTTTGTTTTCAAACAAAATTCTCTTTTCAACTGGAAATGTAAGAAAAACAAACATACTTTAAGTTTGTATTTTAAATCAGTTCTCAGAGTAAAGCAATCTTTATTTGTAAAGGGAAAATAAAGATGAGGAATAAACATACTAAGTTAACATAACTACAGCAAAATAAACATATGCGTGTTTTTCCTAAAGATCCAGTATGGATATACTTTCTAATAGGTCAGATCAGAAAGAGAACTAGACATACACACACCCCACCTCCCCCAAAGATATTTGAGGTAACTTCTAGTCACACAGTTTGCAGACTTCTGAATATTAATAAATAGCATTATCTTCAGGTCAGCCATCACTTGTGTTGACAACATGACAAACTTATTAAAGCTGTCCTTCAAAATCAGTACTTTTAAAATTCTTTATCTTAATGTTTTGTTGTGTTTTTCTACATACAAGAAATCCTTTTGATTTATGACCCTAATTACGCTTTCTCCTTGTCACTTTTTCTACCCAACCCTGTGTTATGCTAGGTGTATCAATGAAAGATACTAAGATAGGCATCATTAAACCACTTAGAAATGTGACCCCTGATTGTATTTCTTGAAGCACCATAGATTCAATGATGTCACTAATGAAACACAATATGCTTTTTCAAGTTTAAAAACTTTCAAACAAATTTCTATGAAAAAAATGTCTCCACAATTTAAGATAGTAGTATCAGTTTCCCTTCACAGTGATCAGTAAAAAGCTGAGCCTGTTTGGGACTTCTCTCACCAAACAAACAAACAACAACTTACAGACTCATCCTCCTCCTCCTCATCTTCATCTGCGTGGTGGAAGAAATGCCGATAATTTCCCGGGTTTATTTCTGTATCTTCAGGCCCAACAAAGAATCTGGGGGCTTCACTCATTTTTATTTCATTTGATATAGACAGAATTTAAATGTGCTATATTAAAACTGTTTCTAAATAAACAGCACCAGAAAGAAGCATTCTCTCTATACCGGTTGACGCATAGGTCTGTCGCAGCTTGCTTCTGCTTATACAATCACTTGAAATTGTGATGACAGTTAGTTGGCAAATGTTCATTTGTTCTCAGATATCATTGCTCCATTGTTGGTGCAGTTTAAAAAACAAAGATAGTAAGGCTATTGCTTTAGTGAGTTGATGCAACCATCTTTTTACCTAAAATGCAGTAAAAAAAATTAATTTTGGAGACTGTACTTCAAAAACATTCAGGTAAAAACAATCTTAAATGACACTTGTAAAAATCATTACCAATAACCTTCGAATAAAAAGATACTTTCTCCCATAAATTTAAGAAAGTAAGACTCTGACCTTCAATAACACACATGTTGGCAATCTGGCAAACTGATACAAAGTAACAAAAAGACTACATACTAAATTCTTCAAGTCTTAATAGCTAACAAATTGAGAGAAAATTATTCAAATTAATACAAAATTACATTAAAAGCTAAATCCCTCTGCACAAAGTTCAGTAATACCTGAACAGAATGCAAAAGAATAGATAAAATATAACTTGGGTTTAAAAACCACTGACAATTATACACCAATTTGAAATTACATAAAATCAATTTTTTAAAGGCTTCATTTGTAAAAGTTCAATTTGTAAACAGGTTTTTTTAATGGAATATAACCATTCTGTATTTTGGTCTCATATATAAGTTGACAAAACAAGGTTAGAATGAAAGAAAGATTTCATTGTAAAAGTAGCTCTCAAACTTTTAGAGTCAAAAACCCTTTGGTAAAATTTTATAGTGTGAATCACTATATTGTACACCTGTAACTTATACAATATTGTATACCAACTATACTTCAATAAAAAAATTTTTAATGAAAAATAAAGCC